TTCTGAACTCTCCCACTTTCCAACAGGGAACTCCCACTGAAGGGGCATTCCAGTTTAAATGTATCACTTGAAAGTGGGAAATTCCTACTTCCCAGTACAACTTGGCTTCAGAAAAAGTGGTGAAAATTCAGCTGAAGGAAATTTTACACAGTGAATTTCACCAGCTGTCAACTACTTTTGAACCCTGTGCACCTCCACCTAGTGGTGGGAGGCCATCATTTTGCAGGTGATATAATCAACATGCATTATGGGAGATGTAGTTTATGGTCAACACTGGCTTTAAAGCAGCTTATTTTTGAGACATTAATAAAGGGCTATTCAACTAAATATCTATTGTTCTTGTTGCACTGAATTTACTAAATTTAATTCACTAAATTTACCATTTAAAATTGATTTTAAATCTCTTTTTTTTTACATAAAATGAGGCAAAAAATTTTATTTATTTTGTAAGCTGCACATTTAGCCCTTGGGCCTTGAGTTTGACACATGTGGCTTAGAGTGTGTGTGGATGTTTTTCAGCTAAATTAAGTGAGTTGAAAACATTTTTGCATTTGCCAAAATTGCTTAGCTGCGCCGGCCATCTTAATTCACGTTTTACCCAAAAAAAAATAATTTGCAGATGTGCAGCTTATGATTACTCTCTGAAAGTTCCATCCAACGATTTATATTTTTGTCACACACACACACACACACACACACACACACACACACACACACACACACACACACACAAACGCACATTACTGAATGAAAAGCTGAATATATGCTAACAAAATCAAATAAACACATTTATTTGAGGGGAGCATGTTAAATAATAATTTTGACTGTGTTTAATTTCCACAGAGAAAGTTTAGATGTTTGAATATAAATTGTCAGTTTTAAAGTTTTACCGAGGAACAGCAGGACACACACTAACTGATCCTGAGAAGTCATTGCATGTGAAAACACCCTTGTTGCCACCTCAATTTCAGTTCTGATTGGATTTTGCTCTGGCTCTTAACACCATCAACATGTTTGGGAAAAGTTGGAATGGGGTATGTTTACCACCATGTTGCATCACCTCTTCTAACAACATTCTACAAGAACCAGGGAACTGAGACGCGCCTCGCCTCAGTCCATCTTAAATAAGCATGAACTCAGAGAGGGCGGCGATGTTTCTGGATGTTGTTTATGTGTGTTGTTTCTTTCTACGGGAAAATTTCAACTTGCACGAGATGCAGTCACAACCTGATGGGTTAAGAAGGGAGGCATTTTGGGGTTTTTACCACAGAGCATTAGCTTGTTTGTGACGCAGGACAATCAGCAAGTTTGCACTTCCACGTCGAAAAAACACAACTTTTTGATTGATATTTGATTACAATAATGTTTTCACATTGCATTAAGTTGTGCTTTTTGAACAACTAAAACTCCTATCAGCAGTCAGATGAGTGAGGAGTTTTAAACAGTAAATGTAAGACAACCACACTCCTCAATGTGCATAGCTGAATATAACAGAAAAATATATTATTTTAAAGTTTCATGCCTAAAAGCTAAAATTAAAAGCCTTAAAATAAAATACTCATTTTGGATCCTAACTGTGTCATTCATGTTAAGATAAGAAGTCAGTATTATTTTGTTTTACAGTAGACCAATGTTTTCCCAGAATGCATTTGTAACATACAGTACTTATAAATAACTGTGTGACTACAGCAATTTAAAAACAACAACTCTACAGTAACAGACTGTACGGCGCTTCGAGAACTGTTAAAAAACTGCAATTCTCTGTGAAAACAACAAAAATCATTTGGTGTACAAAAGCTCTGTGAGTTCTTTCATTTGCTCTGTTCCTAATATTGATTATTATATAATTTAAGTGTGTTTGTGTGTGTGTTGCCCACATTCACCTATCCCCTAATCATGCCAGGTGTTTCCCCTTTACTCATCATCTGTCTACATAATGCTGCGTTCCAATTGGACTTGGAGGTCAGAATTCCCGACTTCCAAGTCGAAAACATCAACTGGAACCCCACCCCCTAATGTCATAAATTCAAGTCAGTGCAACATACAGTACCTGAGTACTCATGACATCATCATTTCAACATGGCTCACATCAACACTGAGTGAAAATCTTACTTTTACATTTTTTTAGCTGTTTACATTAAGTCAGTCATACTTGTAGTACTTTATAGTGATGATTAGGTGATAAGTTTTAAGTTTGATAAGTTTGTACTCTCAAAATTCTGCATAGAGCACTGTGGCGTTGTTGTTGCATTATTCCATCAGAGCAAGCAACAGAAAAGCTTTCTTATGACCCTCCGACAAGCTGGAAACTGGAACGCCTTCAACTCGGCTCTGACATCTGCAGCTGGAACGTAACAGAATCCCTCAGGTTTCATTCTTCCCTCAGTCCAGCATTGTGTGTGTTTCACGCCATGTCCAGTTTTTTTCGTCACTGTGTCTCCACCGGGTGACTCCTCAATTTCAATTCATTTGTTGTTATGCTGCCATGGCAGCCTTTTATTTTGGTGGGGTTGTTTTTATTTTCTGCCAAGCCAATACATTTTAAAGCAGCAGATCTTTCTGCACAGGTGGTAAACTGAGTGTCAGACACAGAGGCAGAGGCATTAGCACTTAAAGCCACCGTTAGCACTCATATAGCATATATCTTGTGTGATAATCCCATGAAACAGAAGGCCAGTGGGTCTCCCTTTGAACCGCAGGGCATTCAACATAAAGAACGGGGAAACATCTCCACACCCCTTTGTGGTCACCAGCATTTCATTTGCAATCTAAATCTAAAACACGGGGAATTCGAGAGTCACATCAAAGAGCTTTTTGATAGCTTGGATGGAGCACAGACTTGAAATAAAATGGCTAATTACTAGTGTTGATTAGTAGGCCATGTAAGCCACAGACTAATTGGATATCACAATGAGGAACTGCTTTTGTTTTCTGTGCATCTTAATGAAGGCTCCCTTTTTCCTCTTTCTCCATCCACAAAGGCTGAAATGTTAAAGCAATTTTTTTGTGTTTACCGCAATGAAATTGTGCACCAGCATTCAAAGAAGCGCTTTAAAGTTTTGTTTTCTGATCAAAACTAGGTGTCTAATTTTATCATCAATGCTAAGTGTTAGATCTGAGTTGAAGGAATAATCAGTTTTCTTGTTTTCTCAGAGGATAAACAATTAACGGATTTACTTGTGTATTTATTTTATCTGTGACCAAGGTTAAAAACTGCTGCTTTGGCAAATGAATGGTTTTGTGATCTTTTTTTTTTTCCAGTAGAATACAATAATGTGCGTATTTTCATTTTACTGCATTTTCACTACACAAAATGAAATGTAAAGTGTGATCCTTATTGGATTATTAAAAGGATCCTTCCATTTTGGATCAACTGAGGCAAGCCAGAAAAGCATGACTGATTTCTGCACAAAGAGTGTTACAAGGCAACAATCAACAACTTGTCTTAATCTGAACATTTTGGCTGACTTAAGCATCAGAACTGAGATTTAAATAAAATGTGACTCACTTTTCTTATGTTTCRCGTAAACTGGGAACAAAAGGGCCACTTGGACTGATCCTTGTGGAGCACCGCAGCTCATCTCAACTGCTGAGCACCAGTGGTTAGTGGTTAGCAGTGTTGCCTCCCCGAAATTGATTTCTGTATTCAAGCCCTTTTGGACCTGGGTCTGTGTGGAATTTATAAGTTCTCCTCATGTTTGCACGGATCTTTCTCAGGTACTCTGGTTTCAAAACTATGCATGTTTAACATGTTCTATGTTGTTATCTGGACTTGGGATTTATTATTTTTCAGTCAAATCAAATGTAATTTATTTCAGCAGCTCATGAAAGTATCTTGTGCCACCAGCCAGGGTTGGCCCCAGCYAAAAGCCCTATGGCAAGAGTTCAGATAAGTCACCCTTGTGCAACTTTCTAAATCTTACTGCCAATTTACATACATTCACATAGCAAATTAAATAGTTTTATTGTTGAACTTACAGCGGGTAAAATAAATATTGAACACGTCACCATTTTTCTCAGTAAATATATTACTAGAGGTGCTAATAACATGAAATTTTCACCAGATGTCGGTAACAACCCGTGATCCATAATACAAAGAAATCAAACCATAAATGTCCAGAAATGAAGTTATTTGTAATAATGTGGAATGGCACAGGGAAAAAGTATTGAGCACACTTACTGAAATTTATTTAATACTTTGTACAAAAGCCTTTGTTGTCAAAAGCCTTTGTTGAGGCGAAGACGCCTCCTGAATGAAGAAAATAGTGGCATGCATTGCTCAGGTGTGATTTTGGCCCATTCTTCCACACAAACAGTCTTCAAATCTTGAAGTTTTCGTGGACCTCTTCTATGAACTCTGATCTTTAGTTCTTTCCATAGATTTTCTGTTGGATTCAGGTCAGGTGATTGGCTGGGCCATTCCAGAAGCTTTATTCTCTTTCTCTGAAACCAGTTGAGAGTTTCCTTGGCTTTGTGTTTGGGGTCATTGCTGAAATGTCCAGCCACGTTTCATCTTCCTCATCCTGGTAGATGGAAGCAGATTTTTAATCAAGAATGCCTCTGTAC